TCTACTCTCTCTTATTTCAATAAACAGGTTTTCGTGCCCATCGCTGTTTAAAATAGCTCTTGTCTGGTTCGTCTGTGACCTCCACACACTGCAAAATCCAATGGTCAGGTCTCAGTGCCCACTTTACTTAACCACTTCATGGCAGAGCACTCTATCCTTAAAACAATGCTTCTCTCCTTCACAAAACATTTCTCTCACAAAGTTTGTCTCCTACCCCACTGATCAAACTTTCTCAGTTTATGTTATTGAATCCTTCTGATTTTTCCTCCCTTCCAAATTCTGAGTGTTCTGAGGCACACTTCTTTAACCTCTTCTCTTCTGTAGTTTCACTTGTTTCCTGTGCGGTTTCATCTAGTCCCACAGTTTTCAATAAGCTTATGGTTCCCAATTGTGCACACATAACCACTTGCCTGGTATCTCCTCTTGGATGTTTCATAGGTCAAACCCTTACTCTTTATTTCCCCCCAAAATCTGCTTTTCACCCAAACTCCCTAATCTCAGTCAATACGACCACCATTTGCCAAGATGCTCAGACCAAAATCCTTGGACTCACCTGTGACTCCTCTCTCCCTTTATTCCATATTCAAGCCATGAGCATATCCATTTGGTTCTTCCTCAAAAGCCAACTACCTCCCTTGCTACCATGCAGGTCTAAGCCACCATTACCTCTACAGTGGACCACTGCAAGAACCTACTAAGTGATATTTCTATCTTTCTTTTCAAAAAATATTTCTGTTGAAAGTCTAATAAATATCATTTATGTTTAAAGTATCCCTGGGTGAGTCAACGTATTAAGCTATTGAGTCATTCATTCACACTTCAGTATGAAGCTCAATCAGTTATTTCTTTAATATTACCTGATCTCAGCTCCCTTTTATAAGTGTATGCATATGGGGGTGTCTAAAGGAGGGGAGAAATAAAGTTAGAGTGATAATTTTGAAGTGTGGGGCAGTGTGTGGGGAAAATGATCTGGGCAGGTGATGCAAAGAAGACCCGGAAAAGATAAGAACTTGTATGTGCACATGAACATCTGGAGAACTGCAAAGATAGGCCCTAAACAAATTCTGAAACAAAATTCAGCTAGAAGCAACAAAGGGCAGGTTGGTCGCTCAGGTCCAAAATCGTTCACTAGGAAACTGGAAATGCTTTTGCTTGGAAGTAACTTTTAATCACATATGGCAAAATAAGCCATTTGATTCTTAGACACTCAAGCATTTTATTTATACTTCTTTAATGGCATTTGTCTTATTACCCCTAATATTATACTTCATTCATTATTTATTCGGTGAGCAAACACCTTTTTTTGAGTGACTAATTTGTGTGAGCTGCTGTGCTAGGTGCTACAGGTACAGAACTGGAACAGAAAGGCCTGGACCCTGCTCTCATGTCATTTCCTGGGAAGCAAACACTAAAAAAAATAAATAAGCAAATACCCACTTAATTGTAGTTGTGGTGGGTGCTATGAAGAAAAGATTAAAGTCTTTGGGTAATTAAGATGAATGGAAGCAACTGTCATTAAAATATTTTTTTCTATGGGAATCTCAGCAGAACAAAAGGTAATCTTTATGAAAATCACAAACTTCTTTGCCAGGAAATGACTGTATCAGTGATTAATATGAGAATATGTGATCTCACTTTGATTTGTATGATAGACTGACACTGAAATAAGTACAACAATTAAAAAAAAACAAAACGCTTGCCGTTCAGTCGATTCCCACTCATGAGAACCTGACATGTGCAGAACAGAACTGCACTTCATAGGGTTTTCAAGGCTGTTACCTTTTGGAAGCAGATCACCAGGCCTTTCTTTTGAGGTGCCTCTGAGTCAGTTCGAACTGCCAATTTTCTGGTTAGTAGTCAAGTGCTTAACCACTTGTGCCACCCAGGGACTCCTTAGATATTACAATAGTGGGAAATAAACCAATCTAGGAGTTTATAGAAGGCTCCTCTGAAGAAATAAATTTAAGCAGACAGTTAAATGCAGGCAGGAACCAGATCATGATGATCTTTGAAGGACGTATTAAGGATTTTAGATTATATCCTAAGAGAAATGCAAAGCAGTTAAGGTTTTGAGGAGGGCAGAGACATCATTACATTAAAATTTCTTAAAGATCATCTGGCTCCCTATAGAGAATGATTCCAGTGGAGAGAAGAGGGGAGGCCAGTTAGAGGCTAGTTCAGTATTTCAAAAAAGGAATGAAAGTGGCTTGGACCAAAGTGGTAGGAGAGGCAATGAATCTCGAGACACATCTAAGAAGTAGAAAGAACAGGACTTTGAATTGGACGTGATGGATGAGAGATAAAAAGATCTCAAACATGACAGTGAGATTTTTCATATGAGTAACTTGATGAATGGTGGTGTCATTTACTGAGAAAGACAATGTGAGAAACGGGTCCATTTGATGGGTCAGGGGAAGGTTGTGAGGACTGGAAAAGAGTAGCCAATCTATTTAGCTTTAGAAATGTTGTGTTCAAAGCACTAAGTGGAGATAAGCGTAGGGTGCAGTTAGATACTCCAGTCTAGAAATCAGTATTTCTAGATCAGTATTTCTCCAAATGTAATCTTTGGATTATCTGTATCTGAATCTCCTGAAAAAACAAAAAAACCCACTGCTGTCGAGTCGATTCAGACCCATAGTGATCCTATAGGACAGAGTAGAAGTGTCCCACAGGGTTTCCAAGGAACGGCTGGTGGATTCGAATTGCTGACCTTTTGGTTAACAGCCACAGCTCTTAACTGCTGTGCCACCAGAATCCCCTGAAGTGCTTCTTAAAAATACAGATTTCTGGGTGGCAAGACTAGACCTACATCTCTGGGTGTTGCATGGAGGAATTTGCACTTTTCCAAGCTCCTCAAGTAGTTTCATGCATACAAACATAACTCTTGGCGTAGATGGTAATTGAAAATGAATGAATGAGATCAACTAAAAGAAGAAAACGCCCAGAACAGACCTTAGAATAACACCTGACATCTAAGGTTGGATAGAGGAAAAGCACCTAGTAAAAATATGGAGAAGGAGTGGGCAAAGGAACAATAAAAGAAAGTGGCATCATAGAAATCAAAGAAAGAGAGTATTTAATAAAAAGGGACGGTCAAAGTTGTGAAATGCTGCTAAAGAGGCTCTCTTTTTCTCCTTCAGTAAGACATGCGTGCCTTGAAGCAGAGTCAATACTTTGGTCATCTTTCAAATGCTCCCATTATCTAGAAGAATGCTTTAAGTAGGCAGTAACTATTCTTCCAATATTCATTCAATAAACATCATTTATGGAGCTGGGTTGCACAGGGAAAGCACAGACAAGAGTCAAGAGGCCTAAATGCTGGCCCCTCTGTGGTACCATTTGCATAATGGGAATTTGGATTGAATATCCTGAAGATCCCTGCCATTTCTAGCATTCTATGACTACAGAATACTATCATTCTTACAACATGCTATTATAAAAGAAAATGCTAGTATTGCCAGCTAAAGTTAGGTTCTACCTAGAAGAGAAATGTTGTTGTTGTTGTTATCATGAAGAGAAATGCAGCATTTATCATTTACTGAAAACATGCCAGAATTCAAAGTACTTTACAAACATCATCTCATTTAATCCTCACAATTCTCTGAGGCATATTATCCCCATTTTATGGATGAGGAAACTAAGACTCAGAGAAGCTTTGTTACTCGCCAATAGTCACCTCCATCTGTCTGATTACAAAAAACATGGTTATCACTATTGTACTACATTATCTTTCTGTATTACCTATCTAGTAATTAAAATACAGACCTCTGGACAGGACTAGGAGCCCTGGTGGCACAGTGGTTAAGAGTTTGGCTGCTAACCAAAAGGTTGGCGGTTTGAATCCACCAGCTGCTCCTTGGAAACCATATGGGGCAGTTCTACTCTGTCTTATAGGGTCACTATGAGTTGGAATAGACTCGACAGCAACGGGTTTGGGTTTTTTTTTTTTGGCGGTGGGGAGGGACAAGACTAATGTTTCATAGGATTTTTATATAAACAGAAAAAAACTGAACAGAAAAAAATAGGTACACTTGTTCAAGAGACAGAAAAGAATATTTTAGATGTTTGTAGTACTTCATGCCCATGTTAGAAGTCATGGCAATGTTTTCAGAGTAGACAGTCTCACCTCCATCACCTAATTCATCCTCTTATTGAACAGATTCACTTAATCAACAGACCATCAAAGACTAAGGGAGAACATTTATTTGATTTACTGAGGAAGACATAGGGCTAAGTCGCAGATATTATACTAGTGGTGTCAACAAATTTTCAACTCATTTAATCTCCACAACAATCTGGAAGTAGATACCATTGTTATCTTCATTTTGCAGATAAGGAAATTGAGAAGGTTAGGCAACTTCCCAGGGTCACACAATAAATAAATGGCAGAAGTGGGATCTGAACCCAGTTAGTCCAACTCCAGAGTCTATGCTCTTAACCCCTATACTGTAGCTACCTCTCTCATGGAGCTTACAGTTTATTGTGGCAATTCAGGAATGGGGAGGCAGATAATACATATATAAACAGACAGATCCTCTAAAGAGACGAAAGTGTTTGCAAAGATTGAGAGTACGCAGTTGAGGTAGGAGGCTCTACGTGATACAGTGGTCATGAAAGGCCCCACAGAACAGGCATCATAAGTGAAAAGGAGTCATCCATGTAAAGGAGGGCTGGGTAGTGTTCTGGGCAGAGACACAAAGGTGATGAGAAAATTCATTTATTTTTTGTTCGCTACTGTGGAAACTAAAGTCCAGAGAAGTGATTTGCCCAATGTCAAGCAGATTTTCTGATCCTCACATCAGTGTTTTCCCCCACTACACATATTGCCTCAAAGGATAAGAGATTCATGAACTCTGAGGAATACATTCTACTGTGTAGGCCTCAGAAATATTACCTTCACACAGGTACTCTGTTGGAACTGTTCATTTCATTATGACACAAAATCATCCTGAGAAAAGGATACTGAGAATCTCAGTTCCCTCCCTGTGTGTGTGGACAATATGGGCAAGAAGCCATTAGGATTAAATTCAGAAGCGGGTAAGTACCAGGTGTTGTTTTAAAAAATATACTGATGCAACTAAATATTACTCAAGAGCATCTGAAACAACTACTCTTAGGTTTGGTCCATGATTCACTAGAAACCATCTTTTTTTCTAGAGAACAATTATCATTTACTGCATATGGTTAAATGTAACTAACCATGATCAATATACACAGGGCTCTGATCCCAGTCTCTCCTCCTCCCCTCTAAGTTATTGACAATAACCCTTAACCAGTGGCACTGAGAGACTAGTTCTGGTACAGTTCTGGATTCTCTTCTCTATGATCCCTATTGATTTCTTCCACTCGGTTTGTGCTGGAATGTCTCTGTCTCCTTGTTGCTTTAGGCCTTTTATTAGTAGATTCTTACTTTTACAATGTGTACATTTAATAATAGAAAATATTTTTTTATTTCTTCTCCCCCTTCATTTATAGCAGCTCACCACTCCCTCCCCCAAAAACCTGATATATACCCTTCCATACAAATTAACCGGGCCCATCTCCTTGGCAATTATTAGAATCTTTTAATATTTTTAGTCTCTATGTAACAATGGGAACCCTGATGGCGCAGTGGTTAAGAGCTACAGCTGCTAATAAAAAAAAGGTCAGCAATTCAAATCCACCAGCTGATCCCTGGAAACCCTATGGAGCAGTTCTACTCTGTCTTATAGGGTCGCTTTGAGTCTAACTCAACAGCAATGGATTTTGTGTTTTTTAATATAACAATGAAATCACATACTGGAGGGTACACATATTTGGAGCAAAAAACGAAGCTTTTTTCTTCTCTGGAGTGTGATGTACCAAATTTCTTACCTCTTTGGGACAATAATGTATGGGGACTATCCTGACACTTTCAATTTAGTATTACAATTGACAATTACAGGTCACATTGAGCTGAGAATAGAGGCACATAAATCCTCCATCCATTTATTTTCTGTAGAAAGAAAACAATCTTGTTCAATACTAAGGTCAGCATATTTTTACAAACAATAGATTAAGGTTCTGAACATTTCATAATGATCCTATAGCAGAAAAGGATTGGTTATGTACTTGGATTTTACAAAACAGAAAAGGAACTAGTAGGCCTTCAATAAAATCGCTTTATATTGTCTTGGGACTACTCTGATCTAATTGTATCCTAAACCCTCGCTAAGCAAAGTGTGGTCCTTGGACCAATAGGAACAGCACAACCTAGGAGTTTGTTGGAAATGCAGAATTTCACACTCAACTTCATATTCACTAAATTTAAATTTGCATTTCAACAGGTAATTTGTATATACATTAAAATTTAAGAGACAATTAAAAAAGTGATATACACAGTAACAAGATAGTCTCCCAAGTATCCAAAAAGGAGAAAGGGGGTACAGTAAACAATTTTCTGTGTCTTTAAATATGAATAAATATGCCTTCTAAACTGGGTGTGCAATATCTTTCCCATCCCTCTTTTGTAGAAATACTTAACACCTAGGGCAAGTTAGAATTTACAGAGCAGCATTTTCAAAACTGAGTTCCAGGAACACTGTGCTCCTCAGAATGTTAGGTATTTCAGAAATATTGCTTCTATACTCAAATAAGTTTGGGAAACATTGCTATCTAATCAGTTCAGGCTGTATTAGGTAAAAAAAAAAAGAAAAGAAAAGAAATAGACGAACTGGAGAAAGCATAAAGAATTAATTATTTTTTTCGTAGTTTGAGTTTAAATATGAGTTTTTCTCTAGGATTTCTCAGCCTTTTTTCCACCATGACACATAACAGATGATGGTAATATTTGTGACACATTCCTGTGGGTGTAACCAGGCTTATAAGCAATTCATAACGGACTATTCGTAACTCTACTCAGAAAATAAGAAAATGCGAGTGGGATGTACGTTATCCTAGAAATAACAGCTCTAAATTATATAAGAAGTAAATCATTTCAAAACTCTGATGCTTTAACTATTTTTTTTTAAATAGCTTGCCATAAACTGTAACACACTACCTCATTTCAGTACTTCATTAAGAACTGCTGCCTAAGAAATATCGTTGAAAGCTGAGTTGAATAGGTTGTTAAGCTCTTTTCTGTTTCTATGAGGACAAGTCTACCCTCATTATCAATTGCTGAAGTCTTGGTAATTTTGTTACTGCGGTAAGTTAAAGCTCATTAAGGATTCCTGGTAGCACAACAGGAGCCCTGGTGGCACAGTGGTGAAGAGCTCAGCTGCTAACCAAAAGGTCCGCCGTTGGAATCCACCAGCCACTCCTTGGAAACCCTATGGGGCAGTTTTCTGTCCTATAATGTCACTATGAGTCGGAATTGACTCGACAGCAAAGGGTTTGGTTTTGGTTTTGGTTGGTGACACAACAAGGAGCCCTCGTGGCCCAATGGGTAAGCACTCAGCCACTAACAGAAAAATTGGTGGTTAGAACCCACCCATTGAATCTGTGGGAGAAAGACCTGGAGTTCTGCTCCCATAAAAATTTACAGCCTTGGGAACCCTATGGGGCAGTTCTACTCTATCGCATAGGGTTGCTTTGAGTGAGCATCAACTTGAGGGCACCTAACAACAAAGATCATTAAAAGATAAATTTAAGTTTTAATAGCTCTATTGAGATATAATTTCATACTATAAAATTTACCCACTTAATGTGTGAAGTCAATGGTTTCCAGTGTATGTATAGAGTTGTGCAACCATCACCAAAACTCAATTTTAGAACATTTTTATCATCCCAAAAGATATATTTAATTCCAAAAATTAATCTGAGTTACTTATTTCCCAAAGAGTATTTTAAGGATAAAATATCACATATTTATACTTACTCAATGTGTATAATGAATATTTTTCCATTCTGCATATAGCTGGCAAAATGTTGTTGTTATCCAACATAAATAATGAATATTTTTGTATGCTGCATATAGTTTGCAAAATAATGCTGGTGCCAATGAAGAGTAAAGAATATCTTTAGCTAAATATTTAAAAAAATAATAATGAAAGGAGGAAAAAAGGAAAGGAAGAAAAAGAAAAAAGAGAAGGGAAGGGAGAAAGAAACCTAATCATTTGTAAACTAAATCCAGATAGGAAAAATGCTCTTTTGGTTATTTTGCAGAAAACAGTCCAAAAAAACAGGCCTTCAACTATGTAGTTGTTCCTTGCTTTGAAACTACTCTGGGCTCACTGCCTCTGTAAATTAATCACTCCACTTTCGAGAACTTGGAAGGAATGCTATCATTGAACAGCAGCACCCTTTAGAGTATACACTCGACTCCTCCTAACTAACTATATTAACCAGCAAGAAGACTGAAAACCTGTGTCAGGGCTTTCTCTATTACATTTGTCAATAATATTATCAATAGTTATGATAATAACACTTAAACAGTGACACTGAGAAACTAGTTCTGATAAGGTTCTGTATTTTCTTTTCTCTGATCCCCACTGATTTGTTCCACTTAGTCTGTGCTGCAATGTTGGTGTAGAAACACCAGGTGAATGTTGTTTGATAATGATAGAGTCAACAAAGTATTGCTCCCATCACATCATACATTGGTGACTCCTTGAAAAATATACTTAGAATTTCAACACCATAAAGTTCCAGAAGACATGTTTCCATTTGTTTGTTCTGTTATTTTCAAATTACCTAGGCAGGCTCACCTTTGTAGATGGACACCATATAATGCTACCCTGGACCATGTGAACACTGAAAAGGCTCCAGAGTCTCAATTATGGAAGCAAGAACCCACATTTGGGCAGTTGTCCAGTTCCAGCAAAGATGGATTTCCTTATGAAAGCAAGTATATATTAGGTATAGCAGAGCAAGAACCAGAATAGGCCTTTAAATCTTCAGTTGACTCTTGATAGAGATGTCAAGTAGTCTTTAGACATCTATTAATAGTTAAGCAAGGCTAACTCTATTATTGTATATGAAGGTATATGTTGAGTGAAGTGATCTGTCTCATTCAGCAGCATTCCTCAAATCACACTCAGCCATCCATACCATTCTCTTAACCAGACCATTTGCTCAAGGAAGATGAGGCATGAATGTGATAATGCAGATATGTCATTTCCTTCCTTAGTCTAAAATAAAGTAAATGTCAACTGAAGATCAGAAACAAGTATCTGGAAATGCTTGTGTTACAAGTAATGGGTGCAAAACTGTATCAGTGCTCTGATTTGATAAAGAAGCACTTTGAGATTCTTTGGATGTCTTCCATAGTCAAGAAGTTCTTCTCCTGAAGTGCCTACAAAGTCAGTCTGACTCTTGAGCAAAGATTCTTATCTTCGGCGTATGTCACATTCAATTATAGTCCTTTCAATATCAGAATTAATTCCTGATTTTAGTCAATGCCTTTCTAGGAAGGTTTCTTAAATAGGTTGAATATAGAAAAAGCAGAATAATGGAGCAATTGTCTGATGAAATAAAGATATGATCCGTGAGTTCATAGAAAGGAAGAAAAATAAAAATCCTTGCCTTCATGGAGTTTATAAGCCATGGAGGGAAGATAGAAAACAAACAAAATTATTAAACTGTATAATATATTACAATGCTCTAAGCACTATGCAAAATGATAAAACAGGAAAAGCAAATAGGGAAGGCTAGGGAAAGAGGCACAATTTTAAATAGGGCAGTTAGGAAGGATTCATTGAGAAGACAATCGATCAAAGACTTGAAAGGGATGAGGGAATGAGCCCGGACACCTGGTTTAAGAGTGTTCTAGCAAGAGGGAACAGCAAGCACATGTCCCAAGACAGAGACAGAGTGCCTTTCTGTACTTGGGGAGTGTCCTTATCGAGTAGCAAGGAAGCCTGGATAGCTAGAGCAGAATATGAAGGGTGAGAGAAGTAACAGATAAGGTCAGAAGCATAAGTAAATACGGAACCACATTAGAAATTCCTGAAAGTTGAGTCCCCATGCAGCACCAAGAAATTATGTGACAAATTATAACAACAGACATGCTTAAGATTACCCTGGATATTTGATGACCATTTCAACATCGGCAGTCTTATTCTTAAAGATCGGACAAT